AAAGCTAATTATGCCTTGATTACACCCTACTTTGATTAGTTTAACGTTTAGGATAGAGAGAGAGAGAGAAACATCAATGTGTGAGAGAAACATTGATCGGTTGCCTCTCATATATGCCCCAACATTGCATCAAACCTACAATCCAGGTATGTGCCCTGACCGGGAATTGAACCACAACATTTTGGTGCATGGGCTGATATTCAACCCAATTGAGCCATCCTAGAGGCAGGTGACCAGCATAAGGCTTAGTCATTAGTGGTTGCTTAAGGGACAGCAATGCAAATGCATGATGCATGAGGAAAAGTCAGCAGGGCTTGATGCCTGAATGGGCCTACATGGTATAGCACCAGGAGTTACTCACCAGGGCTTCCTTCCAGAGGAAAGGCCTTCTCACTGTCAATTATGGTGAAAACTGTCTCTCTTTGACCAAAGATAATGCTTAGCAGCTCTGTTTTAACTGTATCCTATTGAGAATTAGACCCATAAAACTCAAGTAAAAGGAAGACATATATTTCAGCACAAGGATTGACCAAGAAAGATATGTGAAGCTATGAGAGGAGGTATGTCCAAACACTACCCCAAAATAGAGACCACTTTGAAACTGGGTGTCTTTGTGTGTTTGGGTGGCTATAACAAAATACCACAGACTGGGCGGCTTATAAACATAAACAATTATTTCTCACAATTCTGGAGGCTGGCAGTCCAAGGTCAAGGTGCCAGCACGGTGTGTTCTGGTGGTGGCCTTCTTCTGGGTTGTTGACTTCTGTGTCCTCATCTGGCAGAAAGGGCTACAGACCTCTCTGAGCCTCTCTGATAAAGGCACTAACCACTTCCCAAAGGTCCCATCTCTTAATGCCATCACACAGAGCATTAGGATTTCAACAGATGAATTGGCAGGGGACACAAATATTCTGCCCACAGCACTATGGAAGAGTGCTATAATTGCACAGGCTGTTAAAGAGACAGACCGGCGAGGAGAGAATACTCTAATGCTCACTAAACACACAGTCCTGATGAACTTCACATCTCTCTGAACTTCTCTGAGGAGCCAGAACACAGGAACACGTTCTCAATCCACGCCTACTAATAATAGCAGACACTTAACAGGCTGGAGGATAAAGTATGGAAGTCTTGACAGTCTAGCTTTTCTCCTGGCATAACTGCAATCACCCTGTATCTCTAATGGGTGTGCTGTTATGGTCTCCATCTCTCATTACTTGACTTTTTGTTCTCTTCCCTTCTTTAATTAATTGAAGACTTTCTTTGGTTTCTAGAATATTCCCCCAGAGATCCATGTTTTCTTGTCATTTTCTCATTCTACCTTCTCCACGGCACAGCTTCCCCAACCAACTTTCCTATTCCATTTGTGACCCATCAGCACACAGAAGTAAACTGGTTATGAAAGGTCTGGTAAGGGTTTGATAGAAGAGCCTCTCGGTAGACTTGGGTTTTATACCCAGCGAATGTGTTATCATTGGTTCCCTTTTGGTATGAGGTTTAACTCTTTAATTCTGGCATCCTCATCTACTCAATGAAGATTCCAACACCTGCTCTGGCGGGCAAGTGAAGACTGTGATGAAGCACATAGCACCTCTAGCACTTCTCCGAGAGCAGGCTTTCCACAGATAATGTTCCTGCTGATCTTTGTAGGAAAGCTATGATGACACTGACAATGGACTGATTTATGTTGCAATGGTCATTCATAACTTTTAAAAAATTAGGCACACACAGTAACTTACAGAATTTGTCTTTCACTTGGTTAAAAATTTAGCATTTTAAATATGCCACATAAATTGGTAACTTAACAATTTAATTGTAATCAATAGTGGCCTCTTGAACTTCATAATAAATATGTGTTAAATCTTCAAAAACAGCATTATACTTTCCATGTGAGTATAAGAGTATTTTATTTTAGAGAGGGGAATAGCCCTATGTCTATGCTTTCAGCAGCCTACTGAATTCTTGTAAATAAAGCAGGATGAAACAACTAAAATCCTAGCTACTTTTTCTAGAGAATGTCCCCTCCTCTTCCTCATTATTTTTAAAAAGCAGCAAACGCAAGGTCAAGAGCTTGGCTCTGTTCGACTGTCTGCATGGGTCTCATTACTGTGGCCGGCTCTCCCTGGCTCCTACGGACACCTTGCTCAAGGTCAGCTGAGACGGCTTTGGAGGAGCCACACCTGACTGTACTGGTGGAACCTGAGCTCTGAGTCATTCACTTGGCAAAGAGCTGATCTAGGAAAAGGCGAAAGTCAGAGAGATGCTGGCCTGAAAGACAGATGAGTCATGGACAAGGAACAAATCACTCTCAATGGAGGATCAACTTTAGGAACATTGAAATGGAGAAAAACAGTGTTTGGGGAAAAATAGCACTTATTTTTGGTCAGGACCATTTGACACAAAAAAAAATCTGCAAAGGTTTGTTTTTACTTCCAGCAATTTCTCAAGTACCTACCACTTATGCTATAAAAGAACAAACCGCCCTCCCAGGGAAATTGTGAAAAAGGAAACTGTCCGAGAGGAACTATCAATTACTTAAGTTTGAAGAAGATAAGAAGAAACTAAAACCAAAGGGAACATTATAACCTGAAATTCCAATCACATGAATAGTGCATAGAAATCGGTGTCTGTATTCCTTTAAAGATGACTTACACATACCTTACACAGGAGGTTTTATAAGTTGGAAAAACTCAAAAAGTTTGACTGAAAGACTATTACAAGGTCATTTTATGCCTTCATTTTTGTTTTAGTTTCTTTAACATGGTACCACTTTTAAGAAGAGTTCCCCTTGTATTCCAAGAACAAATCTTAAGTACATGAATTAAGGGGTAGTGAAAAAAGTTGATGACAATATAATACACATGTCTTCATAAGACCCCAGAAAAGAACCAGTTTTAATGAACTTTAAATGCAAAAATGGCCCCAAATAGTTGAAGACATTTGGCCAATAAGACAAAAACTATTCTTTTCTCAAGAATTTTTAAAGCACTAAATAAATGTTCCTATCTTATTTATGGGAAAACTGGTATAAAACCAACGTCAAGTAACTTGTACACCATGATCTACTTGAGAATTAGATGTAGGGGCCAGGACTTAGTGTCGACAACCCAGGTGACATTGTGTTAATGAATCACAGGGTAAAACCCTTTTTAATCTTCCTGAAGCAGGACCTAGCTAAATAATGATACTGACAAAGCTCAAGATGGCTATGCCTGTGAAGGGAACTGTCTTCTCCATATAGTTCCTCTGGGGGGTAGGAAGGAGGGGCCTCCACTTCTCAAATGTCTATGTGTGCCAGGCACTTCCAGAACTATGCCATGTAACCTTCCCCAAACCCCTACTAGCTTGCTGTTATTCTTCTCTGGCTTATGGGAAATTGAGGTGTAGAAAAGTCCATTAGCCGTGGTGAGCAGGAAGCTAAGGTTATAGCCATGTCTACTCAAACCCTGTGTCTGCCCCCCCCCCCCCCCCCCCAAATCCTCTCCCGGCCACTAGCAGCAGCAAAATAACCTGCTGTCAGAAGCTGGCTCGGTGAGCATTAACATCACGTGGCTGGGTATGAGAATGAAGGTGCTGAGCATCATGAGAGGGGCCCATAGGCCCCTGTTTGCTGCGGACTTTTCCTGCTTTTAGCATTTGAAAGTCCCACATCCCAGAAAAGCCCTCACCTGGGTGCAGATGCGAGGGCTTCTAGGCTGATGCAGAGTGGAGAGTACAGCCCAGTCAGAAGCATTCCCATTCAATCCACCTGTGCTCAGGGGCAATTCTACGCCTCCCTTCCCCCTTGATAAAGGCCTGGGGGTGGGAGGCACCCCGTTCCTTCCAGCCAACAGGAGCCCAAGGCTTTCATATCAGAACTTCCTATATCTGAGATAAGAAGATAAGGTAATTGGTGGGATGTGGATTTCAGGGTAGGTTTTGCTGGTTTCTCTTTGTCTCTTTCGATAGATTGTAGAATTCCACCTGGTACAAGCTGATTCTTACTCGTCAGGCTAAGACAGATTCTGAGGTTACTGGACAGTATTAACATCACCTAACAATGTCCTGCGTAATAACAAACGATAAAATGCATAGCGCAGGATATAAGCAATGGTACAGGACCTAAAGAGGTTGGAGAGGAGACTCCAGGAAGGCTGTCAATCAAATCAGAACACGTGGTCACTGGGGAATATGGCACCAAGGACAAGACTGTGTTCTCACGAGGGCTGCTCTTTATCACTCTTCAAGTCATTGCAGACAGGACTTAGCCAGAGAGCTGTCTCTCTATTTCAGAAACATTCCCAATCTCCTCACTTGCTCTCAGGCCCTCTGTGAAGAGGAGGGACATCCGGACCTTGACATTCGTACACTTCCTCAGCTCCTTCATGGGTCTGGTGAGAGGATGCCCCCAGACTCTCCATCACCTGGGAGTGGCATGGACGTGGGGCACAGTACCCAGCAGTGTCTTCCATGGTGCACACACACCTCCAGCACGTGCCCCGCTCTCAGGCTGTCCCTCGGCTGGCACATAGGACCCACCCTCTCCACATGGCCTCCTTTGAGAGGCCATCCTGTGAAGATCTCCTTCCCAAAACTCCCACAGCACTTGGTGCTGCTCCCATACATTTGGCATGTCAGAACACACCACCTCATTTCCTCAGCTACAGACAATGTACTGCTCACTGCTGGGTAAAGATACCCAGTTTTATATAGTCTTCAAATCCATGTACAGCTACCTACCTGGTTACTGTTAAATATAACGCAGCTTTGAAAACTGTAACTGCTGGCAGGTATGTAGAAGACGTCGTGGAAAGCTTTGGGAAAGCAAATCATCACTACTACTATTTGGTGCTGGCAGGGACCTCAAAGGAGAGGACTTACTTTTTTTTTTTTTTTTTTTTTGCCAGACAGCAAACTATCTGAAACCTTGCCTCATTGCCTTCATGTAATAATGACACAGGTTTTCAGAGAAAATCAGTAACTTCTGCTGAGAATGGGTCAAAGCAAAACAATATACTTACTTGAAAGGAATGGGTACTTTATAGACGGCAGGCAGAAGTCACAGGAATCCTTCCTTTCTTAACGTGCTCCCCGCAGCAGGAGGTATCTGAAATTAGAGGAAGAAAAGACTGCTATTGTTGTTCTATTTGACAGAAATAGGCAGTCTATTAAATATAAATAGCAACAGAAAATGATAATTCTTTTAAGTCGGTCAGTAAGTTTTAAAATACAAAGCAAACACGGAGGTAAAACAAAATGTGTTAGTTTTTATAAACTTCATTTAAAGCCAAGTGTTTTGGCTCCCTTCAACTGTGGTGTTTTGTTTTGTTTTTAATTCTCACCCAAGGGTATGGTTTTCACTGATTCTAGAGAGAGAGGAAGGGAGAGGGAGAGAGAAAAACATCAGTGTGAGAGCAACATCGATTGGTTGCCTCACGGACATGCCCCAACTGGGAATCGAACCTGAGACCCTTCAGTACACAGGACAACACTCAACACTGCACAACACCAGCCAGGGCTCAGCTGTATTTTTTAAGGAGACACTCAACCTTAGACAGCAATTATACAGAAAGGAGAATATAAACTCCCAGTTGTGAGAAGTCACATAAATAAAGGTTTCCAGGATGTCATCTCATTTTTGGAACTGAGTCAGTCTACCTGGGGTTGATAGATAGGGTGTTAGTTTCAAAGGGCCTTTGAGCCCATGTGGTACACAACCCCCACTTCAGACCAGGAACCAGAGGCCCACTCAGGAACCAAGTTCTTCTGTTCTAGGCTCTGTGGGTTAAGGCCAAAATCTCTGACCTCTGAGTCTATACTCCAGAAAAAGGAGACTAAATATAATAGATACCATCTCAGAATGTCCCACTGGGCTGGAAGGTGGAGACATCTGAGCAGAATCCTGAAGGCAGTGAGGACATGAGCCATGGGTCTATTGAGGGAAGCAATGTACTGGCAGAGGAGGGCAGCCAGGGCCTGAAGGGGGGACATGGAAGTGGCAGCTAAGTCTGTGGCAATGGATGAACCAACCAATGGAAAGCAGGTGACAGGAAGCTGATGAAGGACAGAACCTTGGGGAATATCTACTTAAAAGGTGGGTAGGAGCCCTAGCCAGTTTGGTTCATGGATAGAGGGTCGTCGGGCTGTAGACTGAAGGGTCCCAGGTTCGATTCTGGTCAAGGGCATGTACCTGGATTGCAGGCTTGATCCATGACCCTGGTTAGGGCGTGTGCTACGGGAGGCAACCAATTGATGTGTCTCTCTCACATCTCTCTTTCTCTCTCCCCTTCCCTTCCACTCTCTCTGAACATCAGTGAAAAATATCCTTGGGTGAGGATTAACACTCACACACAAAAAAAGTGAGTATGACAGGGGACTGGGAAGGAGCAGTCAGAGACGGGGGACACAGGAGGAAGGCCATCAGGGCTGGAGAGCTGCTGCCTTTGACAATCAGCTCTGAGGACACTTCCTACTCGGAGAGTAAGGGCTGGGGAAGGACGGCTTGTGAAAAAGGAAGTGTGGAAGCCTGACCAGGGCAAAACACTACAGAATTAGGAGGGATCTTTGACTGCATGCCCTGCAGCATTCAAAATCCATTTTCATGTACACATTCTACTGGTGGCAAGCCTGGTGACCCTGATAGTGAACTTGCCTTCCAAATTTGCCAAGATTTAAAATATGTCTAAATTCAATTAAGTGTATAAGAAAAGCAAAAGGCCTTAATCATAGTAAGATTAAATACAAGTGTTGTAACCGAAGCCCACATTTTACAAGCTTGTCTTTAATAAGCATGTACAAAACAAATGACTTTAATAAATAAAAGAGTCTGGTTAAATAAATAAAAGAGTCAACAGGCATCCAACAACAAATGATAATTCCTGGCAATGACAACAGTTCCAGAAATGATCACTAAATTACTTAAAAGTACAAGAGTAATGAAAATATTTTGTAAGTCGAGATGCATTTTTATTTTTTTTTAAATATATTTTATTGATTTTTTACAGAGAGGAAGGGAGAGAGACAGAGAGCTAGAAACATCGATGAGAGAGAAACATCGATCAGCCGCCTCCTGCACATCTCCCACTGGGGATGTGCCCGCAACCCAGGTACATGCCCTTGACCGGAATCGAACCTGGGACCCTTCAGTCCGCAGGCCGACGCTCTATCCACCGAGCCAAACCGGTTTCGGCCGAGATGCATTTTTAAACTTTCACATACATTTAAAATTTTTTCAAATCCCATGTGATGTAAATCTATTAAGACAAATAAAAACACTTCCATGCAACAATCTAATGTGTATTCTTAGAAGAGACAGAAGAAAAAAAATATATAGTTTATACAGTTGACCATTGATCATTGTTTTGAACTGTGCAGGTCCGCACTTACACATGGATTTTTTCCGTAAATACCTGTACTGTTTTCTATCCTCACTTGGGAGTCCATGGATGCAAAGGGCTGACTGTATGCATTGATCTAGGCCCGTGGTCGGCAAACTGCGGCTCTCGAGCCACATGTGGCTCTTTGGCCCCTTGAGTGTGGCTCTTCCTAAGCCTTAGGAGTACCCTAATTAAGTTAATAACAATGTACCTACCTATATAGTTTAAGTTTAAAAAATTTGGCTCTCAAAAGAAATTTCAATCGTTGTCCTGTTGATATTTGGCTCTGTTGACTAATGGGTTTGCCGACCACTGATCTAGGCCATTTTATATCAGAGACTTGAGCATCCTCGGATACTGGTATCTGTGGGGGAGTCCTGGAGACAATCCCCGGGGGGATACTGAGGGTAGTTAAGCTTTTGGGTAGTCAAAAGCTATATGTGGATTTTGGACTGTGTGGGATTGAGTGCTCCTAACCCCCACATTGTTCAGGGGCCAGTTTATTACATTTAATACGGGTCACAAATAAGACACATGGTGAAACTGAAAGTCAATATTATATATATATATATATATATATATATATATATATATATATATATGTATATATTCACACACACAGATCTGTGGCCCACACTGACCCGCATTTAACATTAACGGTAGTGGATGTGGTACGAGATGGATGGGAAACAGTTCATTCTGGATCAGGCACTACTAGCTCTCTACTCCTGAAGCCTTCTGGTTTCCCCCAGCCCCCATTTTCTAGAGAACTGGTCGCCCTGCGTGCACTCACCAAGCTAAGTGCCCTGTTCTGCTGTTTACACTCCCTACTATTATTTGTTTGCTGCCTCCCCTAAGTTGGCTGTTGCTTGCAGGGTGGGCTGTGTCTTCCATCTTTCTCTGGCTAAGGCTTAGCACAGAACCTAGCACAGGGTAGGTGCCTCTAATTATTGAATAAAATAATGAAAGAAAAAATAAATAAATACACTTAGATGAAAGGCCTAGTGTCTCTTGAAATGTTTTTTCAATCCAGGAAACTTTAGGAGGGTCAACTGCGAAATATTTATTGATTGCTAATGACAGGTCACCCTCAGTTCTTTTCATATCACAGATGGCCAAGGGGCCAGCCACACAGCCACCCATACTCCTCCATCCAATAGCAGGTATACCCAGTGCTCCTTCCTTGTTACAATCAGTCCAGGCCTTGTTCATTCAGCCCAGCTGCTTTGTGCCACATCATATTCTACAAGAAGTGACTTTTCATTTTCAAACTGATGATCACTTTTACGGCTGTGATTATAAGCCGCTAGGAGAAAAACTTCGAAAGTCTTACTTACAACCGAGACTATTTTCATTTAAAAAGACTATATGTTTTGTACTCTAGTTCATGCTAATAGACCTATTTTATGGGTCAGAAATGTCATTCTCTTGTCAGTAAAGAGCTATGAAATTACAAGGAGGGGAGAGAACAAAATTTTAAAGTGCCCAAGAAATTTATCTTTTACTTTCTTATCTCAGAAATATATAAAGATTCTTTTTAATGTAATTAAAAAATGGTAAGATGTGATTCAGCTGAAGTTAAAAGCATAGATTTTGCAAACATGTAAATAACATTTTATTTGGTGCTATTAGAAAAATGTCCCTTTAGTATATGGTGGAAGGTCCTGTAGGCTATCACAGTGCACTACACAATATACACGTACCATTTATGTTACATTTTGAAGAAGTTCCTTCCAGGCACCAAGAGTCTTTTAAGATCCAGCCCCTGGAAGTCAACAGCACTTAGAATACTCCCCACAGCTTCGGTGGCACACAGTTTAACACAGGGCTAAGCTCATAAAAGGATGTTTACTAGTACAATTTTTACACCTGACAATAATTTATTTTTAAAAATTATTTTTAGAAAGAGAAAGATAGATGTGAAAGTGAACCATCCATCAGCTGCCTCCTGCACGCCCCCAACTGGGGGGTCGAGCCTGCAACCCGGGCATATGCCCTGACCAGGAATCCAACCAGCAGCCTTCCTATGCACAGGGAGGATGCCCAACAAAGAGCCACACTGGCGAGAGCAACACTCGTTTATTTTTAAGGCAGTCTGCCTCTTAGAAATTCTTGAAGACCAAGGTAATTTAGGAAGCAGTTTAGGAGATGAAGAGGGAGAGATGATTATAGAATGACATCAATTTATTCTTCCCCAAACGAGGGTCCAAGCCTTAGTGTGGATACAGAGAATGAGGGAGTGAACCGGGAGAGCAGGGTCTGCACACGTGAACAAGGGCAACATCGTTCGTTGTACTTTCCACCACTGCTCTGCCACCTTCTGGAATCGGAAGGAAGTGGGGTTTGTTCCAAGGGAGTCCAACGAGGAAGTAAGTGCTCAGTAGAGCACCCCTCTTATGTACATTTCAGCACACATGGTACCTTAAAACTGAGCACTGCAGATTGTTTAAAGGCATAGAGAGCCTGTATCACAATGGATGACTATCAACCTTTCTTATTATAGATCAGTTGTTCTCAACCTTCTGGCCCTTTAAATACAGTTCCGCATGTTGTGACCCAACCATAAAATTATTTTCGTTGTTACGTCATAACTGTAATGTTGCTACTGTTATGAATCATAATATAAATATCTGATATGCAGGATGGTCTTAGGCGACCCCTGTGAAAGGGTCGTTCGACCACCAAAGGGGTTGCGACCCACAGGTTGAGAACCACTGTTATAGATGATACT